AACGTTAATTCGAAATGCAAAAGTTTTGTCACCACGAAGAATCGAACCAGGGACCCCCTTTTTTAGTATTCAGAGTGCCATTTAGAAAAAAATTCAGCATGGTTCTGTGTTCCCGCATGCACCCCTATAACATGCAAAAGACTGTTTTGAAAGGGCATAGCCCTGAAAGCCCCACCCCCCTGAAAGGCTCTTCTGGTGAGAATAAATATGTGGTACCCAAATCACAGGCGGGTCTGTAAAATCAGAAACTTCCATAATGCTCGGAGTACGGAAATATACACGGCCCGTTCATCAAACACTAACTTAGATTCCTTAAGATTCCCTAAGATAGGCTTACTATGGCAGGGCTGCGTGTTCTCCGTTCTCACGTTCCTGCGATTAAATCAGCCTAATTCCACCATTTCATGTCTGATGCATAGACCGTCGCGATTGTGAAACCAGGGCATGTCTGCAATAGAATGGGCACAAATGGTTGTTATGGATTAGTCATCGACATACACTTTTCTTACAACAAATATTTCCGCTTATGCTTTCGCAATCGACAGGAAATGACTAACCTTACGGGGGCAGCCTTCAAGGCAGTCGGGGCGTGGCAGGTTAGGAGAGAATCATTTGGCTATTGTTTATGGGTGGAAGTAGAGGGTTTCTCGCTTAGTCATCTCGACAGAATGACCTTCGCAGTTTCTTCGCTTTACACACGTAGATGCAAAAACATCGGAACAGCTTCCAGGTTCTGAGTCATCGAGGCTGTGAAAGCGCTTCAAAGTCCAGGTTCAGTCTGATCAAAAGTACCCTTTCATTAAGCTTGTCTTATACCCTACTGTCTATTATTTGAGAAGGAACGTGGAACACAAATCATAGTCAACGCCATGCATGATCCCGGGATCATGTCCGGGTCAGATCTATTCCAGGCCAAAGAAGCTTGAACCGCAAACTCGTTCGCTAATTTTTTGAATTTTGAAGTTCTTCAAATGACAGAGCGAGCTCCTGTAACTGAGAAATGTAAGAATGGTAACCGTGGTAATAGTAAATCGAGTATAACAGCGATGCGGACTTAACACTGCATATTGTTGTCTCACCATTTTATTGGTTCCACTGAACCCCCTCCCTCTCCAACTATGTCAGGCAAATCTTTGCATAAGTTTCCTCTTAGAGAAGAGCTGAGAGAGCTCTCAACACCTTTCCAATTTCGAATTGCATGTAACATAGCCTCGGGCTTGAAATGATAGGCGTAAGCGTGATTTATTTCCTGAAAAACCCTGTTGTATCGACCTGAAGTTTTTGAAGCGGCGAAACCAGTACGGGCAATTTTCAAGCGATGACTGTGCAGCGCCATTTGACAGTTTCCGCCGACTATTCAGGGCTGGGTGAATCATTCCACAAATAAACGACTGCTCTGTAATAAACCGTCGAGAGAGAGTGATAGCCATCTGCGGCCAGGCCAGGCACGTTACGCATCGATCCCCTCATCTTCGAGCGACCACAGGTCACTTACTCATCAGCTCGTGTCTGATGGGAATTCATCAGTGGAGCATTTCTGACGATCTTTACACTCCGTCCGATGTCCAGCGTTTTTTCCTGCTCTGATCGATTGGAGCGAGTCATCCCCGTCGTCCTTCTCTTTTTACGCCCCGACGCCGCCGAAGCCATCGGCCAGCTATCTGTACATCGCCCGACGGCGGCAGGTGAAGGCTGCTCTCCCGACACTTCAAGTGGTTGAGTAGGCGACCGCAGCCAACCTTCGCCATTACCCGTGAATTTACACACCTCATTTCTTTGGTTTTGTTGTGCTTCGCGGAGGGCTTTTGCCGGGAAGAGCCTTGAATCCATAGGCTCAGTATGCAGAAGGTGATGTGTCTCAATTGTTTCCTATCGAATTCTCTTCTCTACGTACTCAGCGCGCTATGTCGTAGGCGGAGCTTAGCGCAGATGCGGAGCCATAAACATCGCAGGGCGCATTTCTAAGCTCGGATGTCATCTCATTGGTTTCGAATTAAATGTCCTACCAATAAATTGGCACTACCTGTCTTTTCTTAGCCTATATTTTTACTTTTACTTCATGTTTTATTTTTCCTTCAAAGGAGGGTTTCCTTCTGAAACTATCTGAAAAGCTACAAACAAAGTAGTCTTGTATGGCGTATATACGCTAACCTTTCAGTTGGTATGCCACCCGTGAAGAATCATGGCATACTACATATACTGGGACTTCGAGCACCTTTTTTGTGGCTATTCTTATTTCTTCGAAAGGCTTCCTTTTTGCTACCAAACACCGTTTTGACCAGCTTTTGACCCATCATTTCCAAACATTTATGAAAAACAAATGTGAAGGGTGGGCACTTAAAGAAGCTTCAAGGCGCGCCACACTTTGCAGGCACTAGAAATCACTTGTGTGTTTGTAAGAGTATCTCATCTGTGCATTTGTTGGAAGCTGGTGCTTGAATGAGTTTTTTTGTTTATTAGGTTTCCAAGGATTAAATTACCTTCTTCCCATTGGCAAACGCTGGTAGTTCAAATAGGAATCGATCTACAAGGGAGATGTTAAGCTACCTTGGACTTCGATGTTATCTTCACGTCATTCACTGGTTATATTCACTGTATTCACTAGACTATGTAGTGCTACGTGTTCAAAAAACATCAACTCGATTATTATCCCCTGCCCCGTGCTCATTGTAAGCCACATTTATACC